CACACACACACACACACACACACACACACACACACACACACACACACACGCACACACACTCTGTCTAGTATGTCGGCCCACTGTTTAGATGAGGAATTCTCTCAACATGACTCACACAGCTGCAGTCAAAGAAAGACCCGGCCATGTTTGTGTGATTGGAAAGACTTCAGTTTTGTAGCTCAAACCTTCTGACTCACAGCTCACCATGTCTCTCGATGGCTAGAGACGCCTTTAAATAAATAACTGCTCTCACATTACCGCTTATCAATCTCGTCACCTAGCGCCTATGTCTATAGCAGGATAAAGTGCAACACACTGTGCTGAAGCATTATTTTTTTTGTTTTTTATTAATTGCCATTAATAAGTAATTATTTTTGCTTATCACAAACATAATAAAATATTTTTTTTACAAATGAATATCACATGTTTTAGGTTCGAACATCCTCTGGAATTGATAAAATGCATTCACTGGTGGAGTCACGGGATCTTGCGCAATGTCTGTGCAGCTTGTTTCTCTATTTACTGAATATGGACGACACTGAAAGGCCTTATAAGTCTGCAACCTTCAGCAGGACTTCATTAAAATGAGTATAAACATATTCTGGACTTTAGAAAATCCTGAATACTAAATAATATTATAGCTGCTTTTAGGCTGCAGCTCATGGATTCAGTTACTGTGTTATAGTCTTTCAGCACTAACCAATTGAAGATGGAATGGTTTTCGGCCTCAGGTGCTGCATCACCTTTTATTGTGTATGAGTATGTTTTAAAAGATCAACAAATGAAGCATGAGTGAGTTTTGGAAAAGTTAAACAGGCCTTATGAAGTGCAACAGTTTTATGTGTTATATAGTCATTGCTACCAAGAGTTCCATGTCTGTCCAAGTCTCCATCAGCTCGATCAACTCAGTAATGACCAGCTGCCATTTTGAACATGCGTGTGTCCTGGGGAGTGTGGCGTATGAGCCGTAGCCAGCCTCCTGCTCTGATCTTGGCTCAGTCTCCATCACCAGACTGACCAGTGACATTCAATGTGCATTTTGAGGTCATTTCATCCCGACAGAAGCAGACAGTAATTCCTCATGCAGCCTCCATTAGTCAGGAAGTGGCAGTTTGGATGACGAGAGGCGAGAGGTAACAGACACACACACTTTTAAGAGGGCCAATAACATTTGGAATAAGGAGGTGAGTGAAGCGCTCAGTTGGTGCACGAACTGACAACTGAGTCGTTCCTGCTTTAGTCCCCTGACAGAGTTAAACTGTACTTGATTGTCATGATTGACAGGCAGACGGACACACTTTTGGGGGAACATTTGGGTGTCACAGCACCTCAATACTTAAAACAAAACAGCTATAAAATTGACGATGACAAACCAAAAAGATACATCCCATTTTATACAGTATTTACAGATTTGTGAATTGCAAAGCAACAGTTTTCATAAATATGCCTAATTTTTTCTCCCTTGTGCGTAAAGGCCTTAACTCTTGGCAAGATAACGAACATAATAAGCACATTTCCCCAAATGTCGTACTATTTCTGCTAGTTTAGACTCTAGAGACCACACATTACGAAGCAAAAAAAAAAAGTGAAACTCATTATGCGCTTATTGAATAAGAGTTCTCAACAGCATCCCGGCCTGCTGTGGCAGAGTCTGTTGCTGCAGGATGCTAATGTAGTGCGGAATGATGGTCTGTACAACCCCATATTGTCTGAAGAATTTGGCTGAACAAAGGGCTTCTGTTGCACTGTCAGCACGCCATGAAGTAAGTCAAAAAGAATTAATTGCGTACAACCAATCCCCTCTAACCTGCAGCAGATGGAGATAGTGTTAGTGATAGGGAGAGAAAAGTACAACCTGGCAACATGAATATGGAGCCTCCTCTATATCGCTTCACCTCTGGTCTCAGCTGCCTGTAAATGGACTGATTCATCGGTGTCTTGCTGACCTGAGCAATAAAGAAAGAGCAAGGAAGAGAGCGGGGCCACAAGGTGTTACCAGACCACAGTTGAGGTGAGTCGATCAGTGGCACTGGGTCCCATGCCAGCAGACCACCGCAACCCAAATGTGAAACACACTGTGGTGACATTTAGCAAAATGATGCCAACATTGGCACACATTCTGGGTTGCGGGGTTTTTTGAGGAGGTAAAGAGGGGGGGTGTTGGTGTCAGCAGCTTGTCATCCCCTGAGGATTCTCAATGGGCAGCAGTGTACAGAGATGGAAAAGGAAGTGCCAAATGGCACTGCAGAATCCACATTTTCAAAACGAATACACTGGGAGAAGGTGTTATTTAGCTCTGAGCCATACTAATACGGTTTCATCGCTTTCTGAGACCTGAAGCAAAGGACGTGATTGCGGATTAAGGCGGTGGTTACAAACCGTTGTGACTTGTGACCGCTTAAATGAAAGCAATGCAGCACATGTGCCCCCTCACCACAGATTATATATAGCCTTTGTGTGGCAGTTCAACCAAATAGGGACTTTTACAGATTATTTAATTTGAAGGGATGTTAGAGGTTGAACTGTATTACACAAGAAAAAAGCAAGAACCAACTAATTTTGTGCAACCTAAATATATGTTTTCCTTTCTTATCCCTTTAATGATCTTGGGATATCGTGGTGAGGCTGTTACATTATTTAAAAAAAAAAACTGAATTTAAGAATATCTGAATAACGCTGGAGAGAGCCTTACTTTCAAACAAAAACAAACAACATAAAGTTGAGCTCCCTCTCAAAATAATTTTTGTATGTAATGTTGAAAATGAAAAGAAACCTTATAATGCTGCCGTCCCCTGCAATATGATGATCCTAATCATTATTCAAATCCATTCATAAGAGGCTCAAAGCTAAAGATCAACTGTGTGTGTGTGTGTGTGTGTGTGTGTGTGTGTGTGTGTGTGTGTCCTGGTCTGTGTGTGAACAGGTGCAGGGGTTTTGTTGGGGTTGACGGTGATCATTCAGACTGAGGAAAAAGACTTCAAGGGCATCGTTGCCGTGATGAAGGACTTCATGATGTTTACTTGCTCTTCACTGTGCTGCAGATACACTATGCACACACGCACTTAATGCAATCTTACAGTTACACTGCACCACTCCTTCCTCTTCTCCTCCTGCCTGCTTAAAAAAAATGAAATCACACAGTTAATCAGAGAGGTCACAGACTGAAATCATGATTACAAGGAAATCGGCAAAGGAAGTGCTGGAGTTACCCTTTTGTTCTAAGGAACCCTCTCTGTCCTCTGGTAATGAAAGTCAGCCACATGGAGTCAAATAAATTTGCTCACAAAAACCTCCAGTATATTTTTTTGCTCTTTTGGCAACAGCTGGTTGCAACAATAAACATATAATAGATGCAAAATGTAGAGCAATCCTCGACAAGGGCATGATAAAACTTACTGATGTCTTGCTTTCATATGTTCTCAAAATCACAGCTGAAAACAATCAAAGTCGAACCTCTGCCGACAGGCGTGTTTGAGCACTTTAAAGCCATTGTCAGTTGAAGATG